ATGATTCGAACTTGTTTTTTCTTTTTTGTAATCCACGATTTGAATTTTTTTTTTTTTTGTAATCCATGATCGAATTTTATGTAATCCATGATCGAATTTTATGTAATCCATGATTGAATTTTTTGAAAATTTGTGATTTTTTTTTTTAATCCATGATCGAATTTTTTTTTGTAATCCATGATAGATTTTTTTGAAAATTTGTGATTTTTTTTTTAATCCATGATCGATTTTTTTGAAAATTTGTTGTGTTTTTTTTTTAATCCATATTATTCAAAAAGAAAATGGGAGAGATGATGATTCTGAGGCCACCTTATCCCAGCCATATTATTCACATATCGAGTCCCAACAACAACAGTATAGGGATGAGCACGAAATACTGTAAATTAAATGCTGAATGGCGGTTCATGCAGGAAAAGAACATATCAATATTCGCATATTCATTCAAAAACATGAAAATTCTTAATGGAGTACCCTCATTTTTTATTGAATTCCTAAAAAACAATATTTATAATGAATTTTAATAATTTTTTCGAATTTTTTTTAAGCTTTATTTTGACCGATTCACCCGATTTCCGATCCGGATCGCCGATTCGCCGATCTGGATCGGTTTTTTGAAAACCCGATCCAAATCACCAATCCGTTTTTTAAACCATTGGTGAAAACTTTCAAAGCACATAATCAACATTAACTATAAAAAATCCCGAAATTTAACATAGCTAAAAGATCCCCAAATGTAACATAGCTCAAAGAATATTACATTAAGAAAAAAAAAAAAAAGTTGAAAAGTTAGGGCTGTTCCCTAAACCTGATTCAACAATATATCAGCTTCCAAAAAGTTAGCACCATCTGAGTTCTACACAGCGCATCCATCTGTTTTTCTTTACAAACAGGATCACCATTTGCTTCAAAAGAAAACACCATCTGAAAACCTCTGCACGTGCTTGTGCCTGCTCTTCAGTGCTACTCCTCTGCACGTGCATGTGCCTGCTCTTCAGTGCTACTCTTTGATAAACCCGTGGTCACACCCTTCTCTTTCTCTGCGTTCATTTCTCTCTCTCTCTCTCTCTCTCTCTGCAACCACTTCTCTCCTCTCTCCCCACGCTATTTGTTCCATTAAAAATGATAGCATTTTGGGCAAGTAATACATAGCTTTTTGGGTATGTACAACGCGTGTCATGAGTAAATGGGTAAAGTACCTCAAAGAATCATGCACAACCTTTGGATTTGGAATTCATCAACATGACCACATAGTTAGTATGGTGCACAAGCACAAGCTTTGAATTACATGACTAAATGGTTAGTATGGCTCAAGCTTTTAATTTAGAATTCATATTAATATAGTAAGTATGGTGCATAGTTAGCATAGTTAACCTACCCGTTTTTTTCACTCCGATTTTTTTAGCTTAGTTCGATATATTTTCGATATCTTTATATAAAGTATTTTTACTGATCCGTATTTTTTATCCAATTTTTCATCCAACTTTTTAAAATACAAATGATTTATTTCCTATTTTATAGTGTGCCGATATATTGATGCTCTTCGACTTGCTAACTATGACACTAAGGGACAAACAGGTAGGTATCACCGATCGAACCACCAACCAATGTATTTATTGATGAGGTCTAATGTAAAAAATATATTTGATCTCAAATTAGTCAAACTCAATGTTTGATTAGTTTTGATCGATCAAAATATTCAATTTTAACCAATTCTATTGGAGTGAATTGTACACTTTTAAAGCAGGAATTGCTCTTGAAGTGAATTGTACGCTTGCTCCCTCAACCAAAACACCATCAGGAATATTCTTTTTATCTTGGAATTTGAATCTCACCGTTATAAAAAAAAGTAAGGGAAAATTACTTAAATATATTTTTTTATTTTTTTATATTTAAAAATAGTATATTTCATATTTTACAATGAACTACCCACTTTTTAGTACACAAAGTACATTTTATTTTGGGAAAAGTTTATATAGAATCAAACAATCAAATAAAAACCTACCTCAAAAATTTCACTAAAAAAGGTTCTTGATGCCTAAATATCCTCAAATTGATCATCTCGACATCAAAAGGCATGGACATGAAGAAAAAAAGAACTTCAAGTTGTGAAAATAGTACATTTTACAACATATTTTTAAACTGTCAATTTTCAAGATTTTCATAGATCTGTTGATCTACACTATTTTTTAAAGCTTTAAACTTTATAAATAAAAATAAAAATATATTTTAAAGCTATCACAAAGATTTTCAATATTGAAACCACAATTCTCGACACTTTTTGAAAGCAAGCTCTAATTTGTTGTTTAGAGCCTAAGCTCCAGACAAACCGCATCCTAAACTCAAATTTTATATGGTCATAATTCTTACCATCATAAACTTATAAAAATTTATAAAATAATTAAAAATAAATAAAGTTACCAAACTACTCTATACTAAGGTAATTTGATAGTTTTATTTATTTTAAATATTTTTTATAGGTACATGATAAAGTATAGATATACCAAACTTGAGCTTAATCTGTCTCTCACACACACTGTAGGTTGCAACCTTATTTGCATAAATAAGAAAATTAAAGTTGAAATACTCCACACAATCGATTTTATTTGATCGGTATATATTTAACCATAACAATACTTTTCAAATAACACCCAATCTACACTGTCAAAATAAAATGAATAGTGTACATTAATACACATTTATTTTTACAAATAAGATTGCAACCTTGCAACCTTTCTCCACACACATCCCCACATAAGGTTACAAGAACAGTTGGTTGTAAAATATGAAACGTACGGATGGGATTCTCTTCTAGGTAATTTGAAGGAGCGATTTCAAGTTTCATTTTCCATATTAGCTGCTTGAAATAAATAGATTAACCCCAAAATTTGGTCAAGTATTACCCTAAGCCTGGATAGCTCTATTTAGATCGCCCAAATCCCTAACAAATTTACCAGCTTTTCAATGAAACCAAATGAGTTCATCAAAATTGGACCAATTACTAATTCTGACGAGGAACTTCACTGGTCCCCAACAATCCCGATCCGAATTGGCGATTTCCAAAACACTACTATCACCAATGTCTCTAGTTGTATTTGTTTTGGAATTTAACTCATCATATTTTAACTAACCTATCTAGATCGAAAGCCAAACAAGAATTTCTTTTGTTTTATTTTACTATAGGAAAAAATGCAGCACCGGAATTCTCCTTCAGAATTGAAAGCTTACCCTATGTTGGGATAAACAGTATCAAAAACGATTCTTGCAAATGTGTGCCTCACCTCTCTCAATCCACCTTGAGCTAAAGACTCATAATTTAATGTTTTCCCACGCTTAGGTACAAAGCCCTTCTCCTTGCCACCTTGTACACACTCAAATAATTTAGACACCTTTAGATAAACCTGCAATGGGATGAACACCTGCACCGATATGCGATATGAGAGAGAGATCAGTATTGACGTCATACAAGTGTAAATGACAAACACAAAAAGAATATCGGGGCCCACCAGATCAGAAAAAGGAGCTTGAGGATATTTTGCCATGGCTTGTGACACAATATATTCATCGGTCATCATACTCAAAGCTGCTTTCACTAATGATGCAAGATCCAGAACCTCATCAATCAACGCTGTATCTGTATCAAATTTCTTGGGTTCTAGTAACTCAGGGAAAATTGAGTTGTGGGGTTGATCAATGTGCCTCGCAAGACTTATTGCCTCTGCTAAGTGTCCACCATTATGCACAGCAAGGGTAAATGTCGCAACTACCAAAGGGTCTTGAGGTTCATCAACCAAAGCAAGATGGAATGCTAGTATTCCCACCCTAGGAATCAAGCAAGAAAATGTGAGAATACCCTATATAATAGCTTTTCTTTTTTTGGTAATACTATAAGATGGGTAACACATAAATTCACGTTCACTCATGCACATCTGCACCTAAAAATCAGATAAGAAAATGATTTCTCAACTGCTTGGCTTCTAAATAACACATCCAACCACATAATTATCGAGGGAAAGGGTTTTGGTGCATTGGCTGACACACATTCAAATGTGTCTGCCATACAAATAAAGTCCATCTTAGTTATGGATTTTGTATCAAAACTTTCACAGGTCGATCTCAACCACCCAGACATGAATCGGAATTTTTTTTCAAAAAAAGAATCTATGCTTAAAAGTAATCTATTTGGAACTGTTTTTTTTGCAACTTCATTTTAATTCTTCACAAATCATCAGATTTGCACTATTTTTAGAAGCTGCAAACACATGATCTAAGGAGAAAATGCATTTGCAGTTATTTAGGATGTATTACGTATCTCAAATCCAGTTAAAACCAGGACGAACTTATGCATCAGGCACACAATAAACTCTTCGATTATCAAATTAGCCATCTATCGTGAAATAATTCTGCAATTTGAAGAGGTAGCACTTCAAATGAAATCCTTCAAGTGATATAACAGTTGGATAATGAATATAAAATAGGTAAAAACCAAACATTATTGAAAGAAAAATGAGAAATTCCATAACATTCTTAGTCCAATGTTGGAAAGTATATGTATCAAGCTTCTTTCAAGCAAACCATTATGTCAATGTAAAACAAACTTCAAACGTTGGTAATAGAATAGACTTACCATAAACTACTGTGGCAAGGCCGATTAGGGGCAAGAAGTTTATCCAAGTTAGAAAACAGAGTCTGCACAGGACAACCATAGGTTAATTCAGAAACAACGTAATGTGTTCTAGAATATCCAAAACATACAGAGAATCATGAACATGCAGACAAAGGTTTCCTTTCAACCAAGTAACAGGCATGGCTTTCATCAGAAAAATGAAAAATAAATCAATCCTGGAAAAAGTAATTGGAAGAACTAGTTCTTATTTCTAATCTATATTTACAAGCAATAAAAGATACTTATGCAGTAATACTTCAGATCCCATACTAATTTTATAGAAACAAAAATCATACCTACCTGCACAAAAAGTATTTGAGACACTCAAACTAAGCAATAATATTTTGACATCAACTGTTTCAGGAGAGTCAGGATGGGTTCAGGAAAAATGTCATCAGGTACGCTAATTACTTGACAAAAATAAATTGTAGTTAAGGGACAGACAAATGGAAAGAATGGATAATTATTGGCAGGGACTTCACAAAGGAAGCCTAGAGTTACATAAGTCTAAACCCTCACAACATGAACTGGAGATAAAACGTGAGGTTAGGCCTGGGAAACGATTCGATGTACAGTTCATGGTCAATGTCAAAATAAAGCTACCTTGGTAGCCTTAAGCCACAAGTTTAAAGGTATTCATGAACCTCTTGGGGATCCTCTCAAGAAAAAAGTGAAACAGAGCATCTAGGATGAGCTAAGGTTCAAGAGGGGATAATGAAGGAATTTCTTCATTTCTTCATCAAGCTACAATTGATAGTCCCAGTATTTTGATATAGCCTACTGCATATTTTTGTACTAATGTAAATATCTCGATTTATAGAATGTAAGTACTTCAGCTGCACAAACCTAAGTGAACATCTAGATCACGTCTACCATAGCCAAAAGTTTGGAGCTATGGCTCTGAGATTTGGGGTAAAGGAATTTAAACTAGTGTTTGGATTACATTGAATCTGGTTATCGTTACTTCTTTTCGGTACTCTTCTACAAAATTAAATTGTCCTGCCGAAAAATAAAGAAAGTATAAGAACATCATCCTCAATTACTCCTTTGAATAGGTGCTGAAATTTGTGCAGCCTTTCATCTGCACAGCTTTGAAGGTCACATGCCAGATCATTGTCTGTTCTTTTATGGATGCTAGTTTGCTGCACATCCATGCAAACAAAGCAGGAAGCTGACCAGTAGCGCTACTTCAGTTTTATTTTGAATATGTGTGAACAGAATAAAGGTGGTATTTACGTCCTCTGGAACTAAAGGTCGTATTTGCGTCCTCTGGAACAATCAGAGATCACAAAGCAGATGGTTGATTAAGAATTATATCAATCCACTCCAAATGATAACAAATGACATAAAATTTTGTCAACAACGACAGGCTTTCTTCATCATTTCCATATTGTATGGTGGATGAAATATAATTGAACAGCTAGACTTTGGAGAGAAGGAAGACATCAGTTATAGTGACCATACAAAGGATACTTTTCTTCTCCTTTTTCTTTTTTCCCTTCACGTTTTCACACAACAGATGCTACATAACTATCCAGAAATTAACCCCTCATGCACATGATTGTTGATACGTACCAGAAGCATATTTGACCTTTTGTCCCGCCTTAGGAAGCCTTGTGAAACAAAATATGCTGCCTGTGTTTTTGTAAATCATTCACAAGGTTAGAGGAAAAACTTGCAAAAAGATCCACAAGAATTGAGCAAGGCTGGAAAGAAAAGAACAAGATGGCAACATACTTGAAGGGGAAGGAGAATTTCAAGGAGCCCAAACTTCCAAAGTACCCTTAAGGAAGCTTCTGCAGATCCAAATGCTAGCATATAATTCATCTCCATCAGAAGCCTTGACTGCATGAAGGAAAGAAAGAATATCTTTTCAGCACACAACATATGCACATTAACTGATTAAATAAAGAAAGTTTTTGGGAATAAAATTTAAACAAAAATGGAAGAATTGAGACGCTGGCAATATAGGAAAAGATTGATGGAAATGCTTCCACACAACCTTGTCAAGTCTTAGTATAGAACTGGAAAAGTCTTTAACAGAATGTGCTGTTTCCTTTGTAAAACGAAAGCCTAAACGAGCAGCAATTCTGACAGCACGTAGAATACGAGCTGCATAAGGAGTATCACATTTGCATTAGACTAGTATAACCTTGGAAACCAAAATCACATGAACTTCCTCTTATCCAATAACAAGGAAACAGAGTGGAAGCAACCGATGGTTTCTCTTTCTCAGAGCAAACAATCGGTATTGGCAAACAGAAAATTAATAAAAGAGAAACTAGCAGCTTACCACAATCCTCTTGGAAAGAATTATGTGCAGGAATTACAGTTCGCACCTAATCACAAACATCAAACAGATGAGAAAAAAAAAAGTACCCTGAGGGTGCAGAGAATCTCAACATGACAAAAGCACAATATGAGATACATGCACACTTTAGCTTTCCTAATATCTTCCATGCTTCCCATGTAATCATAAATAAGTTTTGCATATGGATCAAACATTAACCTGCACAGAAAAGTAACAAAATAGATAAGGCCACAACTTCATGATGCAAAAGTTGGCAGAAACTTGAACAAAAAAATTATAGAGAAGAGAACTAAGCCAGACTGTTACTAAGAAAATTGTCTTGTTTAAAGGAACATTAATTATCCGGTTGTCCGTTTACTTGAAGAATCATAAGTAAAAAAGGTCAAATCGGCAAACCCGTTTATTGTGAAGTCTCTATGCATACAATTCTTCCAGCGAGCATAATCACGATCATTTTGGCCTGGAGGTTTCCTGATAATATATCTCAGGTCCCTGCTAAGATTTCTTTCAGATGTGTTAAAGCTAGACACCTGCTTTGGAAAGGAATCACAATTAGCAAGGTATAGAACACAAATAAAACAAGAAACCAGGACAATTTGCAAAGGGCAATTGAAATAACATTTGCTATTATGCTTTCTCATAAGACAATTGTCACTTAATGCTTAAAAGCACCTAACCAGAGTCTTTTTGCCGCATGATAATGCTTTCTTAATATTCATATGGATAACCAATGACTTGAGTGTTGCAAAAATACAGACCTCCACTATGTAATCATCAACATGCACATGACAAATGGGAAATCGTCTCCCAACTATCTGGCATCTTGAAAAAGTCCTCATCACCTGCATTTAATGGTCAAGTTCAAAACCAGAAGTCCTACATGAAATCATACTCTGAGACCTAGATAAAGATGCCATTCAAAGCTGTCCCATGATAAACACCTCCTTAAGATCAGCTGAGGTTATAATGTCGAAGTCCTTGGGTGTTCTTTTCAGAATAAGATCCCGTACACAGCCTCCCACAAGGTAGACCTCGTATCCTGCAAGATAGAGAGAACCATGCAGTTATTAATATATTTCCAGATTAATCATGAGAGATCCTTACCAGCCTCCAGAAATAGACAATTACACACTATAAATGCATGTGGTCACATGCATGTTCTGTGAAAGAAGCCTGGCATGGCTGAGAAATTACCCTGATCTGACAACAGTGACATATTTACTATAGTTCCAGACTGAACTAGGAAACTCAACTAGGAACTAAACTGTGCCCCATATTGAGTTGAGCTGGGAATTGGGAACATTCTGGAGCAACCTCTGAAAAATAATTTATTCTTTTTTAAAAAATGGGGGGAAAAAACTACAAAAATATGAGGCTAATTCATAAAAAGTAAAGGAAAAAAGAAGTGGCTAATGCTCTGTTCCCATTGCCTGAAAACATGGATATATGGATTTCAGTTCCTGTGGCTGTGAATCTGTGACAAACCTAAAAGTCCACAGTCTTGCAAATAGGGTGCCTCTTTCTCCTTTTTAAGCTAGCTGGACCTCTTTCTCCTTTTTGTGCTCTACTCACTTCACGTTGTAAATAGGGTGCTATATAAACCCTTCCACCATTTTTGCTAAGCCAACTCATTGTTGTCACAAGCTTTTAACTCTTTTATGGCTTTTTTGTAAAGGGATTACCTTGCCCGTTAGGGTCCTAGTAGCTCCCGATTTTTGTAAGAGACGCTAGACCCAACGCTTGTACAACTTGTACAATTTGACAAGACTTGGAACTGGACCAAGCCAAGTCAGTTATGGATGTCTCTGAAGTCTCAAGTATTTAAGTTTCTGGTACAAAGAATGCTAGGAATGCTATGCCATCTGATCCAGAAACCACCATAATTGGCCTTTTAAATGACATCTGATCTAGAAACCACCATAATTGGCCTTTTAAATGACATCTGATCTAGAAACCACCATAATTGGCCTTTTAAATGACATGCCAGGCATCACTTAAATGGCATTAACGACATTCATATTGACATAGGAAAAAAAAAAAAAAAGGTTAAGCAAAACTGTAAGTTTCTAAAGTGTTATTGAGTGTTTCATGTCCATGGTCTATCCACAAGTTCTAAGAATCATGGACATGCATGTCAATGTTGCATAGATTAAATCATTGATATTCATTGATCTCAGTCAATAATCTTAAAGTCCGGGAACCTAGGTGGTGCTTGGCTAGGTAGGTCAACTTGGGCTGCCCTTGGCTAGGCACCCTCTTCGGCAGCTATATAGTGCCTCGGTCAAGGTGCCTGCCTTAGACACTGTGTGTGAGGGAGAGATAGAGAAGTGCCTTGGTCAAGGTGCTTGCCTTAGACACGATGTGTGTGTGTGTGTGTGAGAGAGAGAGAGGTTGTGCCACCAAGCTCTAAGACTAAGGCTTGAGCTCCATGAACACACTGAGTCGAGTGCATTCTGGTTCACTTCTTTGGTGCTTGTAGTGAAACAATAGAAAGTGCATACTTAACAACTGTTAGATGAAAACATGGTCCTGAAATCAATAAAAAGAAGTGCACATCTATACTAGATAATATTAATTTTCATCGAACAATAAGCATCAACAAAATCTCCAAGAGGATATTCATTGAACACTCTGTATAAACTTTTCCACACAAAAGCCCTAGCCAAACTAATGTACTTGTACATTCCTCCTTTTTGGGTGTTATTCCTTTGATACATTAATATCCACATTCTTCCCAACTTATCTTTATTTATAGCTTTGCATAGTGACATGGGTCACCTAACACGCTTTTCTTATTCTTCCCATCATATCTTTTTTTAGAATACATTAAAGGGGCTTTGTTTAGTGGGTTTCAAACTCCCAACATGTTACTAGATGTTAAAAAATTCTACAACCACACTGTGAGCTTCACTTATATCTATAGTCATCATCATCATCAAAGCCTTTTTCCAACTAATTGGGATCGGCTATACGAATTCTAGTCCACCATTCTGCACTATTAATGGTCATACCCTCAGTGAGGCCATACGTCCCCATATCTTTTCTCTCTTATATCTATAGTAGGAAATCTATTATACTTATTAATAAAGCAACGTGAAAAGTCATCATATGTATTCAACACAATTTAAGAAAGGAACTCTTTTATATTTAAATAATGCACAATGTACTAGTAAAAAGAATGCATTTATTACAAGTTGAAAGTCCAAAATAATTAAATGCTATCATGAGATTAAAAAAGAAAGAGAAAGTCTCTTATAAAATATTATCTCATACATATGCTTACGCATATATTTGATACATGTTTATTCATTATTGTTATATTAATAAATTTTAAATATAATTTATGTTTTAAAATCTAAACTAAACTTTGTTGGATTAAAATTTGTACACGTTAAATTATCAATGGTTCTACCAATTGCTTTGCAAAAAATAATGGAATATAATTTTGCTTTTCTAGCAAAGAATAAGTTATTAAATTTATATTCTTAAGGTTTACATTTTTATTCTTTCAATTTCAATATACTATATTAGAAAATTAATTCATGTTTTATGTATATTTTATATTTATTTATTGTAGTTGTACGGATGTGTCGAGGCCATACTAGTGTTTTGGGCTGAAGTACTAGACACATGAGACACGTACTACACACGATATGTGTATCGGTGTCTATGTAACACTAGTGGACGATCCACCCCATCATTCCGTTTTTCAAAGGGGAATGATTATGTGTATAATAAATATATTGTGTTAGGGTGTCCAGTAATTTCAAACCGCCCATTCCAACGAGGAAAAGATCTCAAAACTTATTAAATAGGAAAGCCAAGTCAATGGTTTTAAGTTGACCTAATTTGACATTTTAGCCCTTTTGCTCTTTCTCTCTCTCTCTCTCTCTCTCTCTCTCTCTCTCTCTCTC